ATTCAGGTTGAACTGGGAACAGTAGATGATGTCAAGACTAAATAATTTTGCCAAGATGTTTCAGGTTCGGATGTTCCGTGACCCATTATTTTCCCTCTTTCTACTTAGGATGTCTAGGCAGGGAAGAACAATCATCTTCTCCATTAATCAGCCTCAGTATTCCATCTTCAGACGTTTTGATAGCCTCACCTTAGTGGCCAAAGGAAAAGTCCTGTTTCATGGGCCTGCACAGGACGCTTTGGAGTACTTCGAATTAGCAGGTATGGTTACGTTTCCATGCGGCAGCTCCTTCATCCACAGGATGCGGGAAGAGAACCGGGCTCACTGCAATACTCTTCTATCCTGTGCAGACTTACTCGGATTTACCAACTTTGGTTAGTTTGGTGCCAGAATTTTGATTAATTTTGCAATACTCGCTTATTACTTAGGTTTATTTTTCTGTCCTGAGTATGCTTGCCTGTGTTTGAGTGCTTTTTCTGGGCCATGTGTGCTCTGCTTCGCGGGAAGAGAACCGGGCTCACTGCAATACTCTTCTATCCTGTGCAGACTTACTCGGATTTACCAACTTTGGTTAGTTTGGTGCCAGAATTTTGATTAATTTTGCAATACTCGCTTATTACTTAGGTTTATTTTTCTGTCCTGAGTATGCTTGCCTGTGTTTGAGTGCTTTTTCTGGGCCATGTGTGCTCTGCTTCCCAGTTATGATGACTTCATAACTAACATGCTAGAGTCAGGCCCAGGTATTCCATTGCTTGAACAGTCTGGGAAAGGCACAGTATCATTGCTTTCTTGCCCATGTAGCAGGTGGTGGTTTCTCATTTCCTCTAGTATGTGATCTTTCTCTGCAGGTTTATGAGGTGCTACTTAACTTTGTAGTAGCCTCATACTTCAGATTTAGGCTATGAATGTGTGCTAGCCTTAAGTTTAACATAAGGCTCATATTCTTAGACTGGTGTTTCTATATTCAGATTGGATGATGAGATTATTTTTTAATGGTTGATGAAATCTGCTTCACCTTAGGGGAATATGGATATATTTATAGAGGATTCTACACGACTCTAAATACGGATTTAAATATTCACTAAGTCTCTTAATTTCTTTTTTCTTAATTTTTTCATTTTAAAATATATAAGCATTTCTGAGTCTGGATAGTCTGGATAGCCCAGTCAAAATTTAGGCCAAGTTCAAATGTGACACAGAAAGTTGATGCCAAAGTTAACGTGTGCTGTGTTCCTCTCTGAGGATTTATTCTCTATTTGGAATTATGGCAACATGAAAGATGATATTTGTATCTTTGAACTTCGTAGGCAGAGAAGCAGTGAATGTTATCCCACACACTGCTCTTCCAGTTTCCTAGGTGAACCCAGAAAGTACAATGCACCTGGGCAGTTGATTCCCCAACCCCAGACCTGGATTTAGGTTTATGAAGTACAGAAAGCCTCAGAGCATAGTAACAGCTGGTTTGGGATTCATGATTTATAATATGTGAGGACTAATGTTAGATGTTCATGTGTGGTACACATGAGCACACATATATAGTGGCGGGAAACAGATTATTGCAATATTTTGTGAGCATATACATGAGGAAAGGGTAAATCAGTGAGGATAAAAGAGCAGGAAATCATTGGATTCTGTCTTCCCTAGCCTCCCTTACTAAAAGAGTCCTCTGTGTTTCCTAAGACATTTAGGACTGTGCTCTTGGATTCCTTTCTTTTGTAGGTTATCACCATGAGCCCCACAACAACCCTGCTGACTTCTTCCTGGATGTTATAAATGGGGATTTCTCTGCTGTGATATTAGGAGGGGAGGAAGAAGACCATGAAGGTATAGGATCTTTTTGATTCACAGATGTTTTTAATTCTTTTGATTTTCTTAATTGACTTGAGGCACATTAATGTGGCTCATTAGAATATAGCTTTTCCCCAAAATTCAACTCCCTAAAATTAGTTAATAGACTATCGTCCTTTACTGCCCTGGTGTTTTTTATTTAATTTATAAAAGGCCATTTATGTGATGCTGTAAGTTGTAAGATGGGTTGCCATTAAAATTAGATGTACTCATTGGTTGCAGCGTTATGCTTTCCTTTGTTTTAGACAGGGTTTGTTTATGTAACCAGTCTGGCCTGGAACTTGTGATCTTTCTACCTCTGTCTCTAAAGTACTAGTATCACAGGACTATGGTACCGTACATGGCTTTGTTTATAGCGTTTATATAGTATTTATAGCATTTTAAAAATAAGAAACTTGGCACTTTATACATTTGCAGCTAGTAGAAAGCAAAGCCTGGATATTTACACTAAGAATTATAGTTCCATCTGGAAAGAAATCTATGTTGAGGACTAGGGTCCAGATGGGAAAAATATCATGAATTTGCTGTATTCATAAGATGATGATAGTAATTGTATCAAGTAGCTGTTTCTCTAACATGTAAAGGAATGTCATAGAAGGAATTTTTTTATGCTCCAAATTTGGTGAGCTGAGTATGTAGCCCTGTTTGTAGAGGGCTTATCTAGCATGTAGGAAACCCTGGATTTGATCCTAGCATCACATCAACTGGGTGTGATGGTGCAAGCCTGTAATCCCACACTTGGAAGGTAGAGATAGGAGGGCCAGAAGTTCAAGGTCATCCTTGGCTACAAAGCAAATTACAGAAAACAAAAAGACTCAGAATTTAGGTGTTCTTCAAGTAAAGAGTCTTGGAAAAACCTGTTAAATAATATGCTGTCTGCTAACTGTGTCTCTCGTCTTTATCTACTTTTATTCCAAAGACAATAAACATAAAGAACTTTTCAAGAGAGGAAACCAAGTCACAGAAAAATTAGCTGAGTTTTATGCTCAGTCCTCCTTATACGAAAATACAAGAGCTGCTCTGGATCAACTTTCAGGGGAACAGAGGGTGGAGAGTGTCTCAGCCTTCCAGGAGATCACATGTGTCACCTCCTTCTGGCATCAGCTCAGGTGGATTATCTGGCGATCATTCAAAAACTACAAGAGTTTTCTCCGGGTCACTATGATTCAGGTAATCTGATGAGTTATTTATTGTGCTATGAAAAACTCGTGTGGAAGCAATCTGGCCCTGATGCAGTCTGCGTCAGGGTCACACTTCCCTCCTGCCCTCTTCTCCCGAGTATTTGTCATCCCCACTATACTTGGGGTACAGAGATATTCAACAAAGCCAGTAAAACACAATTAACTTTCTACCAATGGAAAACTTTTCAGTAATTTTTTGGCTGCTGAGCTCAAAAGTTTTGTTGTTAGATCTATAATGAATATCTGAATAGAAAGTTTTCAAATATTATAAAATATTTTTCAGCACAGTTGGGATTTTCTCACCCTTATCCATTTCCATTCACTGATTCATTCCATAAATTCAAAACACAATAGTGAACAAAGTGAGTAAAATATTTTTTCTGATGGAAATTTAAAAATTTTTTATTATTTTTATGAGTGTGAGTGTGTTGTCTGCATGTTTGTAAGTGCGCCCATGTCATGAAGTGCCCACAGTGGTCAAAAGATAATGTTCGATCCCCTGGAACTGGAGTTACAGATGATTGTTAACTGCCATGTGAGTGCTAGGATTTGAACCTGGGTCCTCTGCCAGAGCAGCCAGTGCTCTTAATCCACTGAGCCATCTCTCCAGCCCCTATTGACACTTTTTACATGGGGAGAGAGGTGATAACTAAGTAAATAGGTAAAAGTTATAGCTGGAGAGATGGCTCAGCAGTTAAGAACACTGGCTGTTCTTGCAGAAGAACCAGGTTCGAATCCCAGCACCCAAATGGCAGTTAACAGCTGTCTGTAACTCCAATTCCAGGGGATCTCATAGCCTCTTCTGTTCTCCATGGGCATTGCATAACATGGGTGCACGTCCCTACGTGCAGGCAATACACGCATACACATAAAACA